GCTCGTTTACACTTTCGCTTCTGTGGTAATCGTGTTTTTTTGCTGGGATGGGTCAAAAAAGAGGAATGTCCCGTATAATACAGGACGGATGGTCACCGTAACTATAATCTATGGGCATATTTATGTACATACATATGTACATATTTGTGTACCATTATAGTATGTGTATGTATGCCATTACACATAAAATCATATCTCGCAAATGATTTCAAAATTCAAAATGGTTACCAAAACATGAAAAAGCCCCGTTGATCTGATATGAATTATATGTATGTACGGCTGGTAGACAGTTAAGCGGCATTTCAACCCTTTTTTGGCGGCACAAAGCTGGGAACATTGTTTGGTGGGCATGCATATGAATGTACATACATATATATGTATTTCGATTACAGATGGAGATGACAATTGTTTCACACTTCAATCTAAATTCGCAGAAGGCATGAAAAATTAAATATGCCAAAGCGGTTGGCTGGAATAAAATGATGGCAAGCTGCAATGCACGCACATAAGCATATGCATATACATATGTATGTATGTATGTACATTAGGATGGTATTTTTTTGGGGGACCTATAAACAAATAGTTAATATTAAAAAATGGTTAAACAAACAATTGGGTATTGTTATTGGAAGTTTCCTTAAGAGAGACTAAGGATTTTCAAGAATGCGATACCATTTCTATGAAAACGTGGAAAACTACATGGGCTTTGAGGCAGTTCTAAATATATTTTTGTTTGCAAAATATACGGTTATTCTGTTTTTCCATTTAGAAAACTCCAAGGGGGTGAGAGATTAATATTTTAATCTTTTTTTCCTATGTGCTCTTAGACTACCCTAATATATACGGCAATCATACTTTTCGCAACTACATATGTAGATATGTACCAGGGTTGTTGCGAATATTCGCATTCGCATTCGCAACCGCGGAGCTTCCGCATTAATTTTGACATTCGCATTCTCTTTCGCATTCGCAAAAATCAATGCGGATCTTTTGCGAATGCGAATATTGAAGGGACCGAAAATTACAGTTTTTTTTTACGAGTTAAACTTGGCCAAATATTTTTTATTCCGAAATAAAAGTACTTTCCCAAGGCACATTGAACGGGTAGTATCTGTAGAGCAGCTGATTTGATTTTTATTTTTATTTTTTGAAATTATTTGGTCTCGAAAATGTAAAATTTTTAAAAATTTTTATTACAAAAATTCTAAATTCTTAAAATCGATTTGCATGTGAAACCTTTTTCCATACAAAACAAGCAATTGAATAACAGCTTTTGGAACGTGCGCCCAACTCAGCAGCACAACCGCTGATTACTGGGCCTTGCAAAGGATGGATCAATGCTTCGAGAAGCAAACAAATTTACTTAGCAAGAAAGTTGCAAAGTTTTTTTATTTTTTTTACCAATTTCAATTTTTAAAATTTATTATTTCACATGGCGCGCTTTGATATAGAAGAAAAAATCAGAACAGTTTTTGACACTTTCGATACCATAAGCAA